TATAGTTCACTCCCTTTTCTGCTTCAAATCTTTGCTCAAATGTCACCTTCTTTGATAACCATCTTTGCAAACTATCCCCTTCACCCTTCATTTTTAGCTATAGCACTTACCACCCTATGAAATTTGTCTGTCTCCCCATATTCAAGTCCCCATAGGTAATTTCAATGAGGGCAAAAAATTTTTTGTTCTTTGTCGATTCCCAAAACATCACTGACTTGCGCATAGTATTTCTTTCTTTTCTTTTTTAATGTATCTTTATTGATTTCAGAGAGAGGAAGGGAGAGGGGGAGAGATAGAAACATCAATGAGAGAGTCATTATTGATCAGCTGCCTCCTGCATACCCCGACCGGGGATTGAGCCCACTACCCTGGCATGTGCCCTGACTGAGAATCAAACCGTGATATCCTGGATCGTAGGTCGATGCTCAACTGCCGAGCCACACCCAGCCAGGTGTGCATAGTATTTCTTGAATGCATGAATTACTGAGAACTACATTTCAGCTACAATTGTGGAGTTATAGTCCTCCCAGGAGATATGACCACACAATCAGCTTTCTTTTTAAAAATCTCTGAGGTTGAAGAATGCTCACTGAAGGCATTTCTGTCCTTTGAGAGGTGGTTCTAACTTGCCATAGAAAGTGGCAAGGAGTTCATATGCATAGCAATCAATAGTAATTTTGTCATTTATGGTGTAGTCCCCATTTCAGAAATTAAATGGGGTTATTTCTTCAGTTAATATAACTTTGCTTTGAGTGAGGTGTATCAGCATTCAGCTACCCACAAGCTATATAAATAATCCCTTCGCTGCCTCAACATGAACTGTTAATATGTTTAGAAAATTTCCAGTACTATGTTTAAGTAAACATTATTTTACAGAAATTTAGGGCTCGAGGTATCATCATAGAGCATCCAAACATGCCATATTTGAAGAGTATAGTGTATAAGGCAGCATAGGTAGGCTATAGTACCTATTCTTATCATGTACTAGGCTCTATGATCTTGACTAAGTCACCTCCTTCAGGCAGAAGGTGTTCTTTCTGTAAAATGGGCATAGTAGAAATGGCCTAAAAAGCCCTTCTAACTCTTAAGATCTGATATTCTGATTTGGGAATCCAAGACCTCTAGTCTATGTGAAGTACATAAGGGATATCTATTCAAGAAACAAGAAGGCTGTACATACAAGCCCAGGACAGAGCCGGCTTTCAACTGAGTTGCATTTTGCAGGAACTTGTGGCCTGTACGTGGGACTATCCCTTAGATTAGCTCTACAAAGATGTAAGAACATGTCATAATCGTGGACTAAGAGCAAAGGGACCTTAAAATTCAGTCATCTTATCCAATCCCACCTATCCTACTCCTCCCACAAGTGGAGGCTGGATAGCTTTGTATCATATCTGACACAAGACTAAGTGTAAAGGGTCAAGAGAAAAATACATACATATAAGCAGTCAACTCTGCTAAATAATATTCTATACTACTAGTAATGGTAATTCTAAAAGAGTGAAGACTTAAGATATAACAGAAAGGAGAAACTCTGAAGTCTTACCTCAAGATTTACCATAATAAAATTATGGGCAAGTTCTGAAATTTCTGTAGATTCAGCAAATTTGGGCTTTAAAGCTAGGGAGAAGAAAAGATTTTGGAATAGAAAAAAACATTGTTATATCGGAACTCTAATCTGCTGAGCTGATTCATATAACTAACCCTTAAATCAAGACACCTGAATTCTGGTCCTGCTTCTGCCACTTACTTGCATAGCTATGTGACCTTGAGCGATTGACTTCACTTCTCTAAAGCTTTTACCTCATTTATAAAATATAAATAATGGTATGTAAATGAAAAAATTATTACTATTTGCTTTTTTACACATTTCAGTAACTTCTATTGAAGTAATAGACAATAGAGTAACAATGCCACTAATGTGTGTGTGTGTATACTGTTAACTATTTACACAACATTTTATATTCCTTTTCCAACTATGCTTTTATTAAGTATAACTTGGAACAACTATACTTAATAGTTAACAAAAAAAGAAAAAAGTCTGACTTGGAAGTGGCAGGGTGGTACAGCAAAAAAAAATACATGCTACAAAGTAAAATAACCTTGGGTTCTAATTTGGTTCTCATGTCCTCCAGGAAGACTTTCCTAAAATTCTCATGTCTCTGTACGTTTTAGCTTCCGCTAACATTTACTGTCCACATAACTACTGTAGCACTTAATCTCATACTCATCTTAATTGCCTCACCCTTAACCCCCCTGCAAATATAATTGCAAATTTCTTGGAAGCAGGGAATCTATGTCATATATTTTTTTGGTACTCCTTAAAGCAATCAGCAGTCACTGGGTCAAAGTTGCTGCTCCTATTTTTAAATGCTAATATTTCAGAATACATCTGAGGTTTGATCATCTGCACTTACCTTTGCAAGCTCCACACCAGGATTTATGGATAATCACCATCAGGGGCAGTCCACTTAAAAACAAAACAAAAAAATTATAATCTAGCAATTTCACTTCTTGATATCCTAATAAAAATGACCGATTTATGAAGACAAAGATTAACATACATTCATGTAGTATGATTTCAACTGGGAACATTTTAAGATAACCTATTCAATAACAGATTATTATAACAAAATTATTGATAAATTCTGACATTCCTGTTAATCCTGAAAATTTGGGCTTTAAAGCTAGAGAGAAAAGACTGTAGAAAACATCAAATTTAAATGTTAAGATGATATAACCATTGAAAATGTTAATAAAAACTTCCAGTGGTATAATGTTAAATTAAAAACTAGAATATAAAATTATTATCTATAATTTGGTTTTAATTACACAAATATGTACAGAAGAAAGAGCCCAAAGGAAATGTACCAAAACATAATAGCAGTCATCCCTGGATAATGGGATTGTGGATTTTACTATATTTCTATTTTTCTACAATTAAATGTAATTTTTATAATCAGGGAGGAAAAAAGCTTTTCTTTTTTAAAATAATGAGTGACATATTCCACCTGAACCAGTCTTGGCCAGATGAAGCTCTTTAAGTTTCCAAGGTTCAAATGACAATTTGTAGGAGGGTCCTAGGTAAGCAGCCATCATCCAACCACCATGTCACCACAACATCATTTACTGTATAACACTGTATTTACTACACTGAACTGTATTTATTTACCTATCTCCTCCCACCAGACATGGATCCTCAAGGAACTCTTAGCTGTTTCTATATCCCCTACAGCTGGCATATAAAATCACAGAGATAGCCAACAGGTATATAGCATTTACTATGCACTGTTCTAAATATTCATAATTAATCTAATTAATTTAATAAGTGTCAAATGAATTGTGACAGATTTCTTGCTCTAGTACTTGTAAAAGCTTATAAATAAAATGAGCGGGGCAAGCATAGGTGACAAATGGGATCCAGATAACTATAATAATAGCCAAAATGTACTGAACTTTTATTATAAAACATGGTGCTATGTGCTTTATATGCATTATCTAATTTAAATCCTTACAATAATCCTAAGAGATACTATTAATGGTTTCATAATAGGAATGAGAAAACTGAGACTCTGAAGACATTAAATATTTGGCCACGTAAAATCTAGGTTCTACAACTTACTAATTTGTAAGTCTAACTCCAAAACCAATGTTCTTTCTGACCTGTATAGTCTACTTCAATTTAGAATGGCAATCTAGAATTCATGGGTTTATACCAAACTCAACCAATTATCAACTAACTTAGAATCAGAGAATTAAGGTTGGAAAAGGACTTTTCTTAGTCCAAACCTCCATTTCATGCAGGAATCAGAGACAAAAGGTGATCCAGACTGCCTAGTGAGCAAGAAAAACATCACCACCCAAGGAGACCCATCCTTTTATCATGTCCATGCACTTACAGAGAAATTTGTTTTGCTCTTTCTTTTCTTCCAAACTGCTGTTCAGTCTTCTAGAGCAGAGGTCAGCAAATTATAATCAGCAGACCTAATGAAGTCCACTGCCTACTTCTGTAGAGCTGTGATACAAATGTTTTTTACATTTTTAAATGGCTGAAACGAGTCTAAAGAATAGTCCCTTGTAAGATGTTAGAATTAAATATAATTCACATTTCAGCGTACACTGTTTTGTTAAAATGCACTGAAACTTTTTTTTCCTTTTAATCTTCACACAAGGACATGTATATTGATTTTCTTTTTTTAGAAAGGGAGAAACATCGATTGGCTACCTCTCATATGCACCCAAACTGGGGTTGAACCCACAACCTAGGCATGTGTTCCGATGAGAAATTGAACCTAAGACCTCTTCGTGCACCAGGTGATGATCTAACCAACTGAGCCACACTGGCCAGTGCTCATTTTTATACTTACTATCACTGCTTTTGTGTTACAATGGCAAAGCTGATACGCTGCAAAAGAGACGCTATGGTCCACAAAGCCTAAAAATATTTACTATTTGGCCCTTTGCTGACCCTTGTTCTAAAGTGACAGTTCACATATTAATCCCTCTGTGAAGCCTTTGGAAATCCACCTTCTCTCAACAGCTAATTAGTCCTTTCCTCTTCTGGGATCCCAAAGCATTCTGTGATCACCCTCTAACTACCAGCCGCTTTTATCCTGTAATCATCTGTTTAGTTGTGTTTCTCAACAAACTATTAACTTCTCAAGGGCAAAGATTACCTAATTCACCTTAGAAAAATGACACACACTGGTAAGATAGGAACCTAGTTTGTTTAATGAAATCAATGGAAGAATGAAAGACAAACTTAAAGTGACATTTGCCTTGAAACAGAATGAAGCACAAGTTACAGAAGTTAAAATCACTCTAGATTAGAACCAAATATCTCATCTCTTACTAAGCACTATCGAAGGACTACTTCAGTCAAAGGCACAGCAGTAATATATAGGGGTTGGCAAAAGTAGGTTTACAGTTTGTATGAAAAAGAATACAATAATAAATAACACAAGAACAAAGTTTTGCATACTCATAACTGTAAACCTACTTGTGCCCACCCCTGTATGTATATGTAAAATGTTACATTAAATAAATTACATGAAGAACATTGTTACATTAAGTGAAAGATTCCAGCCCACTCTCTTCTTCTAAAAGATTTTATTAAATGAAATAATCTAGTGGTTATGTATTTTACTTCCACTAGAACCAAAGTTTCCCAAGGAGAGAAACCAGTAAATATTTCTGTGATCCCAGGCCCCAGGATAGAGAGTAGCAGAAAGTTTAAGTACACTACTCAAAAAACTATTTGTGATATGAAAGAAGGGCCAGTGCAGATGCAGAACTGTGCCATCTTCAGTCTCTGTTCACAATTGTTTTAAAACAATTCATCCAGTCTGCTTTCCCACAATTATGATGTGGGAAATCAATTGAGTGGAACCCAATCTAAGCAAGCCTTGTCCACCTGAGCTTTGTCCCCTGGAGAAATGTGCCAAAATCCTTCAAGCTAGTTCTCTGTTCTTTCTAGTCTCAGAGTATGCTCTAAACTCAAGGCCTGGTACAGAGGCACTCTGCAGAGTGTGAATCAGTCACAATAACTCTAGTACCACACATCAATACACTCTGCAGACCTTCAGATTATTCTTCCCAGAGAAATATAGTGCAGCAGAGGTTAGACAAGGAGCCATGGCTTTCCCCCAAACCCCTCTGGTTAGAGCAGGCTCTGGTTCAGATACTGTAGAAACATGTTGGCCAGTTGAGGGAGGTTCTCATTGTTGGGATGCATTTTGGTGTAGGAAATAAACTGGCGTCGGAGGCGACTCAGTTCTGCCATGGACAAAGGCCGGGTAAACCGAAGGTGCTCCGTGGTCCCAGGAAGTTTAAGTAAGTCTCCGGGGACTGCGCTCTTCTGCGCTTCCATCAGTCCTGCCAACACCTGGCTGGTTACCTGATCCAACTGGTGGAGAAAACTGCCAGAGGCAAGGGGCTGGGATTGGGTAGACTGATGGGGTGGAGGAGCCCGGTTCTCAAAAAGGGCTGCCCGGATCTCTGCCAGGGGCAACGGCTCCTCTAAATCCACCAAGGTGAACAGGGGTCTGTCCCAGCGGTTCCGAGAGTCGGGAGCCTCGAAGCGCAGCATTAGGGCCTCCAGAAGTTCAGGAGGGTAAAAGGCACTGGACACATGCTTTGCAGATTTCTCGAATTCCGGAATCTCGAGAGCTGGAAGATCTGGCGCCCTGGTTTCCTCCCGCTCCAGTTCCTTAGGTACGTGCGCCTGGGCTCTCCCGTTTACTACCGAGTGCACTGCTTGCGGTTCCCTAAGGACACCGGTGCCCGCTGCCAGAGGCCTCCCTCCCTCTTCAGCGCGCGGCCGCCAACTCACACTGACGTTCCGGCCCCGGTTCTCCTCCGCATCCGCCACCCGAGGTCCCGCGCTCAGACAGCCTGGCCGTACGCAGTAGACCAGGCACAGCGGGGTGCGCGCCGCCCGCGCCAGGCAGTAGAGCTCGTAGCGGAAGCCCTTAATGTAATTAAGCGAGTCTAGGATGACCACGTCATGACGACTCAGACGCCGCTCCACCGCGGCGCGCAGGGCCCCACGCAGCGCCTTCTCACGGGCCGAATCGCCGTACACCGTCGCGTCCTCCGCGCCCAGCACGGCCGCGTCGTCCACCACGTACACCGCGTGGCCCTCAGCCGCCAGCGCCCCGCGGAGCTCCTCTGCGCGTCGGCTCTTGCCAGAGCACGGCAGCCCACAAAACACCACAAGCGGCATCCTCCGAGGGAGCGGCCATGCGCAAACGTGCGTCAACTTCCTGGTTGTCGGTGTGTCCGACGCAAACCGGAAGTGCAAACTGAACTTCCGGCACCCCTTGACTCTTAAAGGACCTCTTGTTGCTACGGAAACGGGAGTTCCAACCAACTAGACCGCGGTCCTCTTTAAGAAAGGAGATGGAGACTAGAACGGCATCATTTATTTATGTAAAATGTTATAGGCCTCAGGGGAATGTTATTACCCTGCGGCCGAAGACTTTAGCCATTCATTTCTAATGGGGCCTTAACGTTAAATATTGCAAAAACAATGAGAACTATATTTAGCATAGACAATTTACAAATGCTAGTTCCCTTCATTCCTTACACCCAGTGATTCTCAGTAAACCATTTCACTCACTCAACATCTCCATGTTTTGGGATTCTGAGATGAACATAAAACAGTTACCCCTCAGGTGATCAAGGATCCGAATGGGAAGAGTCAGGCACCCACAAGCAGAATAATATATACCATAATGGATGGTGGATGCACGGATGCTGGGTTGTAACAGTACAGAAAAGAAAAACAAACTGTCCAGGAAAATCATTGAAGATTTTATCTAGAAATAGTCATTTGATTTAGAACTCGAAAAATGAATAGGAACTTTTTTCCTGGGTAAGGTTGCCAGAAAAAATACAGGATGCCTACTTAAATTTGAATGTCAGAGATAAACAACCAAAAAATGTTTTTAATATAAATATGTCTCAAACATTACATGGGGCATATTTAAAATTATTGTTTACCCTAAATTAAAATTTAACTGGGCATCTTTTATTTTTATTTGCTAAATCTGGCAACCCTACTCCAGATTCAGAAGGTCTGAGACTCAGAACCATGAAGCTGTAGGATCTGTTCCAGCAAAAGCAAGCACTACAGTTTGCAGAAGTGAGAGTGTTTCTGTGCAAGTATAAGTGTGTATAAGGTAGGTGCACATATGTATATTGGGTCTTTGTATTTCTCCAGAAAAATAAAGTAGAGAACACTGAAGTCTTGGCTCTGCCACTTACTAGCTGTGTAAACTATTGTCAAGTTATTTAACCATTTGTATCTCAATTTCCTCTCCTGTATAACAATTCTTATTTCACAGGCTGAACCAACCTTAGAGTTTGTGAGGATTAAATAAATTAATGCATACAAAGCACTTCCCTCCTCTGCTCTGCCTTTTTCTCCCCTTTTGTATCAGTTGTCTGTGCACAGACTTGGAACTTGAGACTACCCAACTTGAGACTAGCAGGCAGTATGGTTTACTGGTTGAGTGTAGGCTCTGAAGCCAGAATGCCTGTGTCTGAATCGTGGCTTCTCCACTTACTAGCTGTGTGATCTTGGGCAAGTTACTTAAATGCTCTGTGCCTTAGTTTTCTTATCTCCAAAATGAAGGTAACAACAATACCCACCTCAAAAGAGTTATTATGAGAAATAAACAAGCTAATTCACATAATTCAAGGTCTGGTACATAGTAATCACTTAATAGATGTTAGATAGTATTATTGTTGTTATTAGGCAACTACTCAGTTCTTGCTCTGCTTTGGCATGCACTTCACATGCTAAATTGATGTCTGAAAAGTGTTTTACCACTCTAAATAACCGAAACCCATATCTTATACCTGGCAGCTGCTTCTCTCTTCCCATCTTCTAGTGTCCTCCAATGAATGTGATCTCCAAAACCTAGAAGAAAAGAGTCTTATAAACATTCACTCACGAACAAAGAGGAAAGACCCAAGAAAGAAGTGTAGCATGTTCACCCATAAAAAGGCTTTCCTCTGTCAAGAGCACGGTGTTCAAGTACCAGTTCTGCCACTTTCTGGGTATATGGGACCATGGACTGCCCCCATACCTCAAGCTTCACTTTTCAGACATGTAACATGGAGATAGCATTGCCTACTCATAGTTTTTAAGGAGATTAAATAATGTTTGTAAAATGTTTTGTAACCTAACAGAGTATGCAAATAATACTATCACAATAAATCATTACTATTTGAAGACAATACAGCAATATAGCTTTAGAGTCTAAAGACATGGGTGTGGACTCTACTTCCTATTAATTTTGAATTTTGAGAATAGAGTAAGCTCTCCAAGTCCCAATTTCTTCACCTGTAAAATCAAGATAATATTACCTACCTCCAAGTATTGGTGTAAGGATTAAATGAGGTAATATTTTTAAAGCTTTTCTTGTTTTTATTCTCAACACTTCAGCCAGAGTGATATTTTGAAATCACGTCTCTGCCTGGCCACTGTGTCTCAGCAGTTGAGCACTGACCTATCACCCGGAGGATCCTGATTTGATTCTCGTTAAGGGCACATGTCCTGGTTGCAGGGTCTATCCCCAGTGGGGGCGTGCGGGAGGCAGCAGATCAATGACTCTCATCATTGATGTTTCTCTCTCTCCCTTGAAATCAATAAAAACAGCTTTCATAAGCACTGCTCCTTTTGCCTTTCCTTCCACCTTCACCTCCAATTCATTTTTCAGGTATAAACCTAGAGGGCATTTCTTCTGGTAAATCTTCCCTGATTCCCAAAGCACCCTGTTCTTGCCCCACAACCGCACTTCCCAGGCTGAACTGTAAATGTTGGTTGTGGTCTCCCTCACCCCAAAGGGAATTTCCTAAGGGCTGGGACCGTATCTGTCTTATTCCCTCCTGTTTCCCTAGCATTTAGTACTAAACATGGCCAACGTAAGTGCTCTATAAAGTATTTATTGAGTAAATGAGTCTTATTTCAGCCATAACATAAATGAGTTCATTTTACATCTGGAAAATGTTAGTGATCATAATAATGCTAGCTGTTATTTATTGATCACCTTATATATGCCTGGCACACCACATGTGTTAACTCATTTAAATTTGGCAATAATTTACAATAGTCCTTTTACTTAACTTCTGTTTTCTCATCATTAAAATTAGTATAAACAATCAGTAAATGGCAGCTGTTGAGACATCTGGGCCTCAGAGAAGTTACATAACCTGTACCAGTTCACATAGCTGGTAAATGGCCAACCTGAGATTTAAACTTCAGTTTTATGACTTTTCAATTACTATGCTGTCTCCCAGCCTTTCTTTCCCAGAAATAAATTCAAGTTTCCATCAGTGTTAACACAAAGAAATAAATACCTCATTCAGATTAGCATATAGGGGCAGAATCCAAATTTACCACCATCCCTTTTCACTCCCAAAAGCATGGGCTACTGGCTAAAAGAAAATGTGTAACTTGCTTAGGGCCCAAAGTCTAATCCTGAAGAGTGAAAGATTAAGTGAGAGTGAAACTGGGAGGAAGTTCAGAAGAACTAGAAGGAACCTAATGTGATCCCCATCATTCTACTTGTCAATACCTAAACTCAGGCAACTTAATCCTGCTCTGGCAGGATGCCCGACTAGACAGTCCTAGAGGGATATCCACCTACAAAACAATGAAATCCTAGATAAAACGGACTTTCAAATGTACCCCCAGTAATAAACATGTACACAAAGCTAAAACTAGATGAGGAACAGTGAGTAACAACTAAAAGGTAAGTCTGACCTGAAAGCAAATGTCCATTATGCAAAATGGAGGAGACAACCCTGAGACTCCATATTAAAAAGACTATAGTGATTTCACAGCAACAGTACCCCTGGTTTCCAGATTAATCAAATGCCAAACCTGTCTAGAGAAAAGCATTCCCCACTTTAGGCCTTCAGGATAGACAATGGTGAACAACTATTTATGAGCTCACAATCATAGATACCCAAATGTGTAAAAGAGCATGTCCAGTCCCAGTCAGCATGGCCTAGTGGTTGGGCATCGACCTGTGATCCAGGAGATCGAGGTTCGATACCTGGTCAGGGCACATGCCAGGGTTTCCGGCTCGATCCCCATCAGGGGGCCTGCAGGAGGCAGCCAATCAATGACTCTCTAATCATTGATGTTTCTCTCTCTCTCTTCCTTTTACTCCCTCTCTCTCTGAAAAGCAATGGAAAAAATATCCTTGGTGAGGATTAAAAGAGCACCTATAACAGAAGTACTTACAAAAGTCAAAATGTCAGCCAAAAGAAAGCGAGGGAAGCTAGATTAATATCAGGTAAAATAAAATTTCTCCATAAACTTGGGCTACTCAGAAGCTAGCTGACAAAACTTACAGTCACAGGAGGTTATTACTAAGAAAGTCCCTCAGGCAGTGCAGTTCAATAGAACTTTCTGCAGTGATAGACATGTTCTACACCTGCACTATTCAATGTGGTAACCACAAGCCACAAGTGGCTGGTGAGTACCTGAAATGTACTAATGCAACTGAGGAGCTAAATTTTTAATTATATTTAATTTTAATTAATTTAAAATTTAAGAGTGACTCTTGGCGAGTGCTACTCTATTGAACAGCTCAAACATAAGAGATCGATTAGTCCAATCCTCTCATATTACAAAGGCCTAGAAAAGTGCAGAGCACCCAAGACCACAAATGAAGCCACAACCAGAATGGAGGTCTCTTGATTCCTAGTTAACAAGCTTTTCTGGTATCCCAACAGTTCTTTAGTCACCTTACCGCATTAGCCCTAAGAATAAGTCTACAGGTGTAATTTGAAATAGTTCACTACATGTATAAAATTTCTTTGAAAATTCATATAAAAAGTGACTGGAATTTTTCATAATAGGAATAATAACCACCATTACTTTTTGAGTTCTTACTTTATGTGATAATTATAATAACAGAATGATAACAATAACAATGATTAACATTCATATGGCATTTATTAAGTGCTAGGCACAGTTTTGCGTGCTCTTACAGGTACTAACTTATTTAATCTTCACAATAAACTTATGAGGTAGAAACTCTATCCCCAATTTACAAATACAGAAGCTAAAGTTAAATAGCTTGCTCAAGGTTACACTGCCAGTAAGTGGAAGCTGGGATTATAATCTAGGTGATGGAGTTCCAGAGTCTGTAGTTTACTCACAACACTTTACTGCCTCTTTAGCAAAGATTAAATGAATAAATGAATGAAGGAATGTGGCTGCACCAAAGCAGAACGAAAATATTGCCTTCAGATCTGGAAAACCTAGGTCCTTTTGTTTCCCTTCAAAAATAACTTGAAAGGGTATAGTGTTTATCTTGTTACTAAAATCACCTGCTCCCAGACACCACCCACACTCACACCCATGCCAAAGTGGAACATCTGAAGAGTCCAGTTTCCTAAAGTGTCACCTGCACAGCCACTTAATTTATGCCAGTTATCTGCAAAGTGAGCTGAAGGCTTCCACGTCAGCAACTCCTTCCCTAAAAACATTAATTTTTAAAAAAAGAGAGGAAAAAAAGGAAAGTGACTATTTCTAAACACAGCATTTACATCAGACTTCCCAAGCTCTTCATCCTAAAATTATTTTCATGAGTGTAAACTAAAGACATCAGACAAGTATTATCCACCCCCTCCCAGCTGATAAAAGGTCAAGTGTCAGAACTGGCAGTCAAGCCTCTAAAACAGGGAACACTGTACCTGAGAGGTAGAATAACATAGTAGCTAAATAAAGTCTGTCTGCAAACAGACCTGGATTGGAATTCTAGTTCAGCCACTTACTGTTTCCACAAATGCAAAACAGGGTTAACAAAAATATCTATTCCATAGGGTTGTTGTGAATGTGAATATGACACAATGCAGAATGTAAACACTCCATATGTCAGTGCCTAATTTTTATCCTGAAGACTTAACTATCATCCATTTCTGTTTCAGGAGATGAGCACATAAACCGCCCCCACTGACAACTTTCTCATTTCTCCTTTAGTCTTCAAAGGAGTTTCTGCACTCAGAGGCAGGGGTGGTGTACTTGTTAAGAGCACTGGTTGTGGAATTTGTAGCCCAGCTAGCCCACTTACTAGCTTTGTGACTCCTGTGCCCCATTTTAGGTTCTTTATCTGTGAAATGGTGATGATAATAATATTATCCATTTCAAAAGGTTACTATGAGGATTAAACCAACCAATATGTGAAAAGTGCACAGAGCAGTGCCTGGAATATAGCAATCTACAGTAAATGTTAGTCATTACACTTTTCCACATAGGTAATCTAGTCCAAATTTTTAGCACATGGAGAATAACAAAATTATTTTAGAACTCTAGAATGTTAGAGCTGGAAGAACTCTTAGGAATCATTTCTAGTCTAAGTCTCTTATTTAATAAATGGTCCCCAGGCAAAACCACAGCTGACTATACGGTCTGACCAGGATTAAAACACAGGCCTCATGATTCCTATCCAGTGTTCACACCATACCACTGTGCTGCCTCTTCTTACCGAAAACAAACCACCAGGCCATCTTCTGGAAACAGCTAGAACTACTTACACATCTGGGAAGAAATCATACTCGTTAAGATTTTCATGAACTGCTTCAGGTAGCACTTTTTCAAGAGGTGGGGTGGGTGGGCTATAATTTATTTCCCAAGAATCCATACCCAAGAAATACAAAAAATGAAAGTATGAAATATTATTAATTCCATTCAGGAAAAATTCAATATTCTTTGGGAAGACATAATAATAAACATTAACTAAATACTTTCTAAATTCGTAACACAATATTAAGAGCCTTTTGTTTTTTTAATTTAATCATCACATACAGTCCCCTTGCCTCAAGTTGCTCTCCTATGTGCTCCTGGTTACCTGGTGTTCCCTGCTCACAGTACATATCACAGTGTCATGCAATTGCCTGCTTACTTGTATTGATTAATCTTCAGACTACCTCCCATTCCACATGCTCTTACAGTAAGAATTCAACATTCCCCCGTGCAGGGGGAGGGGGAGGTTAATGTCATTCCCCCTTGAACAGGCCCAGACAGAGTATAGTGGAAGTTATGCTGTGTGACTTGTAAAGATAGATAAAAATGCTATGCATTTCCACCTTGTTCTTTTGAGGCACTCACGCTTGAAATCCAGCTGTCTTACTGTGAGGAGGCCCACACTAGCCCATGAAGAAAGGCCACATGGAGAAGTAACCAGCTCAGCTGAGGCTCCAGACATCACAGAACAGAGTAATACACCTTCCCCACTGTGCCTTGCTTGAATTCCTGACCCACAGAATCGTGAACATAATAAAATGATTTCTTTATGCCACTAAATTTTGGGGTGGTTTGTTACACAGCAATGATAACTGGAATAACCACAAGAGCTTCATGTTTAACAAGGACTAAAAATACTGAATACATGACTCCTAGGGATTGCCTACACCTAACAGCAACTGGAACACAGTGAATTATTTGGTGATGTCTGAGGTAGTTATTAGCATGCCCACTTTTGCAGATGAGAAACGAAGCTTTGAGAAGTTAAGCAACTTGCCCTAGGCCTCTTAGCTGGTAGGTGGCAGAATAAATTGAAACTCAGATCAAAACTCACACTTCTAACACTACACTTCTGTCTCCCTTGGTACTTGCAATTTTATGCTAACTATACAGTAATCTGTTTTTAAACGGGGTTGTCAATATTTAAACCATTCTGGCCCAGTAGAATTCACGATGCAGTTTCATCACTGAGATGGAAACCCATATATCACCTCCTCGGAGAACATTCCCTGACCTTCCTCATTCAAGTAATGCCAGCTCCCTCATCCTTTCCAGCCTTTCTACTCCATCTCAGTTTCATTTTCTTTCCAGCACTTATCCCTAGCTGAAACTGTCTTACTAACTTCTTCATGTGCCTACTCTCTGTCTCTCTGAGCTGAATATAAGCTCGTGAGAATAGGAGTGCCCAAGACAGCGCCTGGAATATGGTTAGGTGATCAAAAATTATTTACTGAATTAAGGAGTGACTGTATTCAGGCACAGTGACTGTCCACCCAATCTTATCACACACCAATAAGTGAACAAATAGGTAGGATAAGAGAAAATAGAATTTAAAACAGCAGAACTGCAGCAGAGTAATTCCACACAGTAAGGCCAGTACAAAAAAATGGAAGGGGAGGGGAATCTATGCTACCACTCACCCACTTAGAAAAGCATAAACCCTGAGTTCAAATGAAGATGTAGGTAATGGGATGGAGTAGGGAGGTCACATCTCCTATCCTCTATTCATAGCCACTGTCTCCTCAGTTCTCACAAACAATTCAGTTTCTTTCCACACGCTGACTGAACCACAGGAGGGACAACTGCTGGTCGCCCCTCTAACTTTAGACCTTCTACCCTCTTTTAGCTCTTCCTTTTGCGCCAGTCACCATGGGATGCAGGACAAGGAGGCCGCAGTAACCTGACTTTTCCGGAAAAGAGGTAAATTGGGGAATCTTCAGACCCAGGGCAAGGCTCTCTGCATATGCAGGTCCCCACAGGCCCTATTTCTCCCAGCAGTAAAGGTGACTGTTCCTTGAGGACCTACTAAGTGCTAAGCACTGTGCTGGGCTCCTCAACATGCTTTTTCTAATTTAAGGACCATTCCTTACCCCAACCCAAGAACAACTTCCCCATCACATCATTCCCTAGACCCGCTACTCCCTACCCCAAGAAATCTTCAAACTTCAGGAGCAGTTGGAGAGGGTGAAAAGGAATCTGGCGTCACCTAAGAGAGAA